AAAGAAGTGATATCATCGAAATCAATGGTATCCTTCCTAAAGAGCAATGTGGTGACTAGATGCTTGTATGAATTGGGTAGCGAGAACAACATTATCATGGCGTTGTCTTCATCTTCCAACTTAACGTCCATGTTTAGTAGTTCAGAGACAATTCTACTAAACTCGTTAAGATGCTCATACATGGATGTACCTTACTACATACGAAATGTATAGAGTTGTTGTGTTAGGTATAATTGGCTGGTAAGAGCCTTCGTCATGTAGAGGCTTTCCAATTTCAGCCAAATCTTTGCAGCTGATTTCTCTTGCATGACATTGTACATAATCTCTTTTGCCAGACACAACCGAATGGCATTGCATGCCTGGAGATCGTATTCCTTCCATTCGTTGTCATCCACATCTTTAGGTTTACCTTCCAATGCTTTGTGTAGTCCCTGTTAGATTAGGGCATCTTTGACTTGGACTTGTCAAATCCCAAAATTATTCATTCCATCAAATTTCTCCACCTCAAACTTAGAATTCGAGATCTTTGGAAGTTTTGTCACCATGACTTTAAAACTTGATTTGGTGAGATCCAAAAAAAACACTGGTGCAGGCAATTATTATTCCTTGAATAGTACTATAAATAATACTCGTGAATAGTACTAGTAAATAGTACTAATGAATAGTAATTATATACTGTACTAATGAATAGTACTGTATGAACAGTACCTTCGCATATACAGTACCGTATGAACAGTACTCGTGTATAAATAAGAACCAGAATTGATACTGGCTCTGATACTAATTTGTTGCAAAAATTACCCCAGAAATTGAATTTGAACCGATATTGACACTCACACTCAAGTGAAAAAATAAAAGAACAATCACACAAGACAAAGCAATTTACGTGATTTGACAATTGTCTACGTCCATGACAACAGCAATAGGATATTTTCACTATTTGGAGTATCAGAGAGTACAAGAACAATTGCTCCAAATCTCACTAGTACTCACTCCAACAAAATAGGATCACTCTGATATCTCACTGGTATCACTTACAAATCTGATATCACTCTGACATCTCACTAGTATCACTTACAAAACTCATAACTCTCAAATGTTTGAGCTCTCAATTTTCTGATGCTTAACTTCTGCCTAGACCTCCCTTTATATAGGGAATTGGGAGAGGAAATGGACAAAGCTGCATATCAGTGCAAATCTATGCTTGAATTGTGTATCCACGCTTGAGCCAATTTTTCTTGCGTAGCTCACATGTAGTCGCCTTATTCCCATCACCTTTGCTACTTATTTTGTCAAAATGATAGGACTCCCTATGTCCATGCAGCAGCCTTGCCAAAAGTTTCTGGCCACATTAAAGGCTTTGTGCCAAAAAGGCCACAAAGTCAACAAGTATTAGAATAATACGTAATTTTACGTTGTGTTTGACAATACATAATATAACCATTGGATAATAGTTATTTAATTCAATCGATTGTTTAGTTAGGGAATTATTTTATCGTATTAATATTGAATTAACAAAAATACCCTCTATCAGTGTTTGTTACATTAAAGATAGCTTGATTTTATTAGTTAAGGGTTATAATAGTTAATGTATAGAATAATACGCTTGAGTTAGATTATAATACCACATCTCTTGGTGGTATTAAAATTCCTCCATAATATAGATCTATCGTATAAAAAATATACGATAAGTATACGTTTTTAAAATTAATACAATATCAAATTTGCTTACCAAACAAGGTATTGCGCCCGATTAAATAAAAAATAGTACAATCAAATATTTAATTCTCTCATAATACGTCTACAAAATGTGCACATACTGAATTGAGCTTATTGTGATAGTTGTCCATTATGGTGTATATCGTTAGCGTACATGCAAATTTGGTTTGGTTGGTTGAATTCCAATTTCGATTCTTGCTTCCTATTTTGATTTTGGGTTTTGTGGATTGATTTCTGGATTTTGATTTTGGGTTTTATGGCGGTGATNATTTTGTCAAAATGATAGGACTCCCTATGTCCATGCAGCAGCCTTGCCAAAAGTTTCTGGCCACATTAAAGGCTTTGTGCCAAAAAGGCCACATTAAAGGCTTTGTGCCAAAAAGGCCACAAAGTCAACAAGTATTAGAATAAATACTTAATTTTATGTTGTGTTTGACAATACATAATATAACCATTGGATAATAGTTATTTAATTCAATCGATTGTTTAGTTAGGGAATTATTTTATCGTATTAATGTTGAATTAACAAAAATACCCTCTATCAGTGTTTGTTACATTAAAGATAGCTTGATTTTATTAGTTAAGGGTTATAATAGTTAATGTGTAGAATAATACGCTTGAGTTAGATTATAATACCACATCTCTTGGTGGTATTAAAATTCCTCCATAATATAGATCTATCGTATAAAAAATATACGATAAGTATACGTTTTTAAAATTAATACAATATCAAATTTGCTTACCAAACAAGGTATTGCGCCCGATTAAATAAAAAATAGTACAATCAAATATTTAATTCTCTCATAATACGTCTACAAAATGTGCACATACTGAATTGAGCTTATTGTGATAGTTGTCCATTATGGTGTATATCGTTAGCGTACATGCAAATTTGGTTTGGTTGGTTGAATTCCAATTTCGATTCTTGCTTCCTATTTTGATTTTGGGTTTTGTGGATTGATTTCTGGATTTTGATTTTGGGTTTTATGGCGGTGATTTATGGACAAAATGGCAGGGGAATGGTGGTGGTAGTGGCTGAAATTGGGTTGGGCATGGTGGTTCCGTTGTACAAGGAGAGAGAGAGGTAGTAGAAATGTTGTGTTTGCTGGAGAAGAAAGAAACATACAAGTAAGGATATTAAAGTCATTTTAATATTTATGTTAACGGTATTAGGATTGCATTTTAGTCTACAAAAAAACGTGAGGGTTATGCGAAGGTTTTTAAATGTTAGAGAGATAAAATGCATTTAGAGTATACCACAAGAGGGTAAAATGAAGTTTGCCTTTCTATCAATATCAATGGAGTGAGTTTTGACAAAAGACTCACACCGAAGCATTTATAATACATTGATAGTATACTGATGAGAAATCTCATCTTTGAAGGTACAAAATAAAAAGCTTAAATTTTTGAAGCACAAAATAAAATTCTCCCTTTTTATTTTTCCCTGCCTAGCACAAGCGTAGGGAGGCAGGGGCTAGGGTGGGCACGTGCCCTTCCTCAAATTTTTATTTTTTTTATTAGTTAGATATATGTATTATATATTTATACATATATATTATGTATGCCCTCCTCATTTATATTAGGCTCACATTATTTATCCAAAATAATTAAAAAATTAAGCTCATTTAAAATAAAGAAAAAATTGAACTCACTATTATCTACCCAAACTTATTTAAAAATCAAATATTTGACCTATCACAATCCACTCAAACCTATTTAAAAAACAAAATTTTTAGCCCAACATTAAAAACAAAATTTTTGGTCTAACATTAAAAACAAAACTTTTGGCCCACCATCATTAAAAAACAAAATTTTTGGCCTACTTGACTAAAACCTATCTTATCTTTCCTTTTTTTTTTTTTGGTCCAAAATTAAAAACAAAATTTTTATTTTTGTTTCGGCTAAATAAAAATTGAATTTACTATTTCACAATAATTTAGTGTTGATTCTTACTTTTTTTTTTATTCTTGAACTGAATTTTTTTGTATTAATTTCGGCTAAATATTTTTTTATACTAGTTATATTTTGCGTCTATCATAGATATTCATGGCTCCGCCCTTGGAAATATACATTTTTTTTGGAACTTTTTTATGTTAAATGGACTTCATATATCAAATATAATATAATAAATATAAATATATTATATAGTGTCATTTGTTAGAAGGAAAAAAAATTAGAGTACATAATTAAAGTGTCCACCCTGAACAAAATTCATGACTCCGCCCCTGCTGCCTAGGGGTAGTCTAGTCATAAAATTCTTTTAAAAAATGGTTAACCAGCTTAGTCCCAAATTAATTGGATGTGCCTATATAAGAATTATATACAATTTAATTTCATTGTATTTACAACATGAAATCAGTTAATTTAAAATCATAAAAATGCAGCATGAAATTAATATTTTAAAAGAGTTTATAGATATCAAAAAATAGAATTTATTATAATTATTATTTTTTTACTTTTTCAGATGCAAAAAATATTGTTCAAGTTCGTATATTTAAATTTTGTTAATAAAACTTTCTTAATGGATAATATAATTAATCCACTCAATCTTTTTTTGTAACATATTTGACCGTAAAATTTAAGTCTCGTACTGAAGCAATTGTTACCGATATGATTAACAAAATTCTATTAACAATGCTTGTATTAAGAAAAAAAAATTTAGTCTTTTTATGCAGTTTAGTGTTTCAATTGGAGTGTTGATTTCAATTTTTAAAATTTTTAATTCTCAAAGTAGATCTAAGTCATCAATATTAGTAGATAAATCATGTATTAAAAAATTTTCAACTTTAAGATAATATTTTTGTAAATTATCTTTAAAATTTGTGCCCCTAAAAATTTAGATCCTATCTAAAACTCCAAACAAGAAAAAAATTTAAACCTAATATATTAAAGAGAAAAAATATTTGGGACCCTAAAGAACTTGGGATTCTAAGCAACCGCCTTAGCGTCGTGTGCCCCTGATTAAAATTTCGTTTTGGTCACCTAGGTTTCGGAAACGTTTCGATCTGTTTTGGAAACATAATGAAAAAATTAAAAATTATTTTTCTAAAATATTGATTGAAATATATCAAAATATCTTAAAATACCTTAAAATATTTTAAAATAATTATACAAATATATTAAAATATTATAAAATATATTGAAAGTTTATGAAATACATCAAATATTATAATTTCAATTTTATTACTGATTAATTTTAGTCTCCTTAAAAACAAAAATATTTCAAACGTATTTCGAAATAATGTTATTTGATACTTCCCTATGTCTAAGACCGGCACTGAATGGAGCAATGTTGGCAATCACTCGGAAACTTACATGCAGCTTCTGACATGATTTCTAAATCGACAGAAAAGATGGCACTGCACATAAGGGTCTAGCACCGAAATATTACTTTTGAGTATTATATATTTATTTTTTATCTAATAAAAATATGAGATGAGTAATAATTTTTTGTTTATTATTTTTCAAATCAATGATTATAAATTATTTAAATTAAAATTAACGGTTTAGATCAAATTTCGAAACACACCGCCGGTATAACCTTATCAGTTGGAAATAGAAGTATTAATCGAGACGAACTATTTGAGATCGGCTCGAACTTGATTTAGATAAAATTCAGCGTGAACTCGACTGTTATTTTAAACAAACTGAACTTGAATAAATTTTTAAATTTATTTAGGGAAACGAGCCTAACAAGTTCGAATTAAGTTCGACTCATTTATATATAAAATAATCGAACGTATAATTTGTTTACAAAAACAAACTCGCCAAACATAGACTCTAAGCTGATAAAACTCAGTTCGGCTAACGCTCCTGATTGAAAAGTTGGTTAGNTCCCCAGCCCACACACCTAGCCATCCAGGCTTCCTGGCCATCAGGCTCCTTGTCTGGGCCACGAGCCCTTGCTAGCTCTTGGTCTAAAAAGTAATGCTACATTAACCTTATTTATTGATCATATCATTCTTCACCACTAAATTGACAGTGGATTTTACTATCAATTCAACAGATATGATCGATCATATCAACAAAGATGATTTTATTAAGTAGAAATAACATTTTCCTAATCTAAAATTGGCTGGTGTAATTACAGGTGGACAAACTAAGAAAGGACGGGCAAACTGAACGTGTGGAAGTGGATGGCCATGACAATCCATTCTTGCGGTCGGGCACTAAAGTGGTTGATGGGTACTCTCGAATGCTTGTTACAGCAGTTGGAAAAAACAAAATGAGCCAAAAAATTCATCTTCATGGGGAACTCTTAAATCAGTTCGAAAAACTAACCTCAGTAATGGGTAAGTTTGGTCACGCAGTGGCTTTGCTGATTCTCTTGGTTATGTTTTCTCGCCTGTTTTCCGGGAAAATTTTCAATGACAAAGGAAAGAAAGTAATTATTGGTGGGGAGGGAATGATTGTTGATGTATTGGTAGCTTTAGTGGGAATTGTAGCTACTCCAGCCATGATTGCAGCAACCTCAGCTCCAGAAGGTCTGTTGTTGGCTGTAAAAATGGCTCTTGCTTATTCAATGAAGAAAATGTTGAATGACAATGTTGTATTGAGGAAACCTTCACTGTGTGATGCAATTGGATCTGTGACCACCATATGCACCAACATGACTGGCAGCCTAACAACCGATTACAAGGAGGTATATGATTAGTTTTCGTGCTCTGTAATTCAAAATGTGTTAAAGGATTCTCCAAATTGTATGTACTAACTCCAAATTAAAGACATTATTTCTTAACATTGAATAGACCTAACTCTTGTATCAGTTCAAATATTGGGTGGGTAATTGTCCATTTATTGGCTTTGCATCCCCTGGGTAAGACGCGTTTAAGTTTGCACATTGCATCCATTTGTTCTACTCTATGTTCGTCTCACCAGTATTTCAGCACAACACTATTGCACAGTCCGGCAGGCTTATATCATTACACTCACGAATAAAATCTCTGACATTTATATAGGAAGATTTTTACAAGTTTTAAGTATGCGATCGTAAGTTTCAAAAATTTTAGTGAGTTTTGATGAGACAACAGAAGTCTTTAAAACCTTCGGTGTCGAGTTTAATACACGTCAAGAAACCTAGTAATTCATCATATCNATCAACCTGCTGGCATCGAAATTTACTTAATTTATATTCAACGTATTTACAATCGGATAACTGGGCTCGTATAATGTATAAGTCATGTTTTACGAGTTTGTGTCGTGTTTAACTGAGTCCATGTCGATCCAATTGTGTAACGGGTCTAACGGATCAATTAAAACTAAATTTAAATTTTTTTAATTTTATATCAAGTTTTAATCANTTGATTCTTACTTTTTTTTTTATTCTTGAACTGAATTTTTTTGTATTAATTTCGGCTAAATATTTTTTTATACTAGTTATATTTTGCGTCTATCATAGATATTCATGGCTCCGCCCTTGGAAATATACATTTTTTTTGGAACTTTTTTATGTTAAATGGACTTCATATATCAAATATAATATAATAAATATAAATATATTATATAGTGTCATTTGTTAGAAGGAAAAAAAATTAGAGTACATAATTAAAGTGTCCACCCTGAACAAAATTCATGACTCCGCCCCTGCTGCCTAGGGGTAGTCTAGTCATAAAATTCTTTTAAAAAATGGTTAACCAGCTTAGTCCCAAATTAATTGGATGTGCCTATATAAGAATTATATACAATTTAATTTCATTGTATTTACAACATGAAATCAGTTAATTTAAAATCATAAAAATGCAGCATGAAATTAATATTTTAAAAGAGTTTATAGATATCAAAAAATAGAATTTATTATAATTATTATTTTTTTACTTTTTCAGATGCAAAAAATATTGTTCAAGTTCGTATATTTAAATTTTGTTAATAAAACTTTCTTAATGGATAATATAATTAATCCACTCAATCTTTTTTTGTAACATATTTGACCGTAAAATTTAAGTCTCGTACTGAAGCAATTGTTACCGATATGATTAACAAAATTCTATTAGCAATGCTTGTATTAAGAAAAAAAAATTTAGTCTTTTTATGCAGTTTAGTGTTTCAATTGGAGTGTTGATTTCAATTTTTAAAATTTTTAATTCTCAAAGTAGATCTAAGTCATCAATATTAGTAGATAAATCATGTATTAAAAAATTTTCAACTTTAAGATAATATTTTTGTAAATTATCTTTAAAATTTGTGCCCCTAAAAATTTAGATCCTATCTAAAACTCCAAACAAGAAAAAAATTTAAACCTAATATATTAAAGAGAAAAAATATTTGGGACCCTAAAGAACTTGGGATTCTAAGCAACCGCCTTAGCGTCGTGTGCCCCTGATTAAAATTTCGTTTTGGTCACCTAGGTTTCGGAAACGTTTCGATCTGTTTTGGAAACATAATGAAAAAATTAAAAATTATTTTTCTAAAATATTGATTGAAATATATCAAAATATCTTAAAATACCTTAAAATATTTTAAAATAATTATACAAATATATTAAAATATTATAAAATATATTGAAAGTTTATGAAATACATCAAATATTATAATTTCAATTTTATTACTGATTAATTTTAGTCTCCTTAAAAACAAAAATATTTCAAACGTATTTCGAAATAATGTTATTTGATACTTCCCTATGTCTAAGACCGGCACTGAATGGAGCAATGTTGGCAATCACTCGGAAACTTACATGCAGCTTCTGACATGATTTCTAAATCGACAGAAAAGATGGCACTGCNCAAAAAACTTGGCCTCTGCACTGTTCTCAAACAGGCAGCCTATCTCCAGTTTAGCGGTTCTCTCACGGATCGCCAAAAAACTTGGCCTCTGCACTGTTCTCAAACAGGCAGCCTATCTCCAGTTTAGCGGTTCTCTCACGGATCGCCAAAAAACTTGGCCTCTGCACTGTTCTCAAACAGGCAGCCTATCTCCAGTTTAGCGGTTCTCTCATGGATCGGCAAAAAGAAAAAAACCTGCACTGTTCTCAAACAGGCAGCCTATCTCCAG